CTTTAATTGCATACATATCTATGACACATTTAGAATTCTCAGTGTTATCTCTTTCCCAGCTCCTGTGTTTGCCGCCTTAGGAGTAAGTCAATAAAAGTCAGATAATTATGTTTTTTCTCTGCCTGTTACTGCTCCTGGCCTCAAACGGAATGTTTGCTTTTTCCTTTTGAGAAAGTGGCATTACTATTAGTAGCATGTAATATTGACAGGGAATGTAGAATGACTATTATTATGCAGCTATAATTACTGAATTTCTGAATAAATTTCTGAATAAACTGATTTGGGATAAACTGAAGAAATATTCTGTATTGCTATCAGCTATCAAGTACTGCAGTGTAGTGTTTTGATGTTCTTGCTTTACAATGCAATAATATTTTTCCGCTGATCAGGTTTACAAATTATGTTATACAAAAGCAATTTTGAGAGTAGATATCTAGTGCAGTGTTTCTCAACCTTAGCAACTTGAAGATGCCTGGACTTCAGCAAATGCTGGCTGGGGAATTCTGGGAGTTGAAGTCCGGACATCTTCAAGTTGCCAAGGTTGAGAAACACTGATCTAGTGTGAAGTGGTTTAATACAGGAAAATGTCAATAAAGGCGTTAAACATGCATGTGTGTATAATCAGTAATGTTAGTCTTAACATAAATCCTAGAAAATTTAACTCCTGTACGTACAGAGAATCTGATGGTTATCTGGAACTGACTAAACAAAGCAATAGACACAATATTGCCTATGTTGTTCAATTCACTGTAGCTAAAATTTTGTAGCCAAATTAAAAATGTCCTAATAAGAAATGAATTAAGTCTACTGTAACTGCAATTAATTTTTGACCAAATATTAGCAAAATCCATATTGGCATTTATCAAAATTTTCAACTATTCTGAGTGTGTCCTTGGTCTTATAATAATAGCAATAGGACTTAGAAATAGCACTTACATACCGCTTCACAGTGCTTTACAGCTCTAAGCGGTTTTTGCAGATTGTTACAGCGTAGACTTACAGAACTTATGTCCCGCTTCATAGTGCTTTACGTCCCTCTCTAAGTGGTTTACACAGTCAGCATATTGCCCCCAACAATCNATGGCCAGTTTAATACTATTAAATGTCACAATGCTGCCCAAAATAATAAATGAAAAATCCTCATGATGATGACAAATACTATAAACACTTGTTTGATTTGTACCAGTTTAACTGCTTTACGTATTCAGCCAAAAAATGCTGGGAATGTAAACTAACTTTAAATATTTGTAATTTGAATATCTGAAGGCATTTCTACTCATACATGAATTATTTATGACTAATAAAGCAGTTTAAACTGGAACTTTGAATACCCAGTATATACTAAGTTTGTAAATTATGTCTGTTAAACCATGGTTTGCTTTAGTCCAACTGACTCAGTTGCTTGAGTTCAACATAACACAATCAGACACATTTAAAGTTTCTGTTGACATACTGGTTTTGCAAATATTTTAGATCTTTCAAAGGAATGTATTATATAATTAATCAAATGGTATGGTTTTCAAACAGGTAAAAGTATATTAAAATCATAAGAGACATAGGCAAGAGTATATTTACTTTAGACAGAAGTGGTACTTAATGTGGAAGACAATGTGTAATTAATTAATGTGTAAGAAGAGGCTGGACAACCACTTGTCTGGAATAGTATAGTAAAATAGAATGCTTGAGCAGGGGGTTGAACTAGAAGACCCCCAACATCCCTTCTAACTCTTATTCTGTTCTCGTATTCATGTTCAATACAAATGTAGCAAGACACTTTTACTGAGTGGATGTTCAAAACGTATGATATTGTAACCAAGGCTTTCATCTTCATTTTATAAATCCCTCAAAGAAGTAAAACATGAATTTTCCAAAATACTCCTCGAAGATCAGCTGGAACATCATTTGCAGATATAATGCTCCTTGTTGGTTCCTATCTCCTGCTTTTGGCATGCTGAAGGCAGCTCATTGGCAATTGTAGACATGATCTGAGAGTCAGTTACCTTTAACAGATTAACAGGGTTGGAAGGGACCTTGTAGGTCATCTAGTCCAGGGGTGTCAAACTTGATTTCATTGAGGGTTGTGTTTGATCTTGGGGGGGGGGGGCATGGACAGGGAATGTGGCCAGCTCAACGTCACTTATGTTGGGGGCGCCTGTGGTCATTCAAGCACTCTGCCAGCAAAAATGGAGTTCAGGAGGGCCATCTCCGTTTACGCTGGCAGAGCATTGCAGGAGGCCATCACAGCCGAAAATGGAGCTTGGGAGGATTGCGTGTGCCCTTCCGAACTCTGCTTTCACTGGCAAAGGCACCACAGACCAGTCCTTTGCTGTTTCCAGGGTGGCCTTGCAGACCAGATCTAAGCACTCTGTGAGCCAGATCCAGCCTCCAGCCCTTAAGTTTGACACTCCTGATCTGGTCCAAACCCCTGCCCAAGCAGGAGACCCTACACCACTTCTGACAAATGGCAGATTAAGCTCCCACAATGTCCGAAGGCAAGCTCTTCCATGGTTGATTGTTCTACTCAGAAAATTTCTCCTTATTTTTAGGTTGAATCTCTCCTTGGTCAGTTTCCATCCATTATTCCTTGTCTGGCCTTCAGGTGCCTTGGAAAATAGCTTGACACTTTCCTCTCTGTGGCAGCCCCTCAAATAGTGGAAGGCTGCTATCACGTCTCCCCTGGTCCTTCTCTTTACTAGACTAGCCATGCCCAGTTCCTGTAACCTCCTGTAAGGTTGATTTCTTTATTGTTCCACACTATAGACAGAATCTTGCCAAACTGAAACACTCTAGTAGCTACATCAAACATATTTTGAGAACTACTAGGGAGGACTTGTCTTCATCCTGTTTGTCTCACACAAACTATCTGAACTGTGCAGCCTCTTATTCCTGTGGAATGCACCACTCCCTCCTGGGAATCCAGCCTAATATATTCCATCACACACTATAAAGAATATAGATACAGTAATAAACACAAAAGTATACAAGGCTGGAAACATTCCACAAAATGCACCTGATGGCTCAACAACTATTTTCTATTCCAGATCCTGGGAAAGAGTCAGGTTTTCTAGGAAACCATTACAGTGGGAATTACACAGACATATTCCCTTTTGTATGAGGACCCAGATTGTTGGGGGCAATATGCTGACTCTCTGTAAACCGCTTAGAGAGGGCTTAAAGCCCTATGAAGCGGTATATAAGTCTACTGCNCTGAGCCAGTGAGATTTGAACAGCTGAACTGCAGAACTGCAGTCAGCTGAAGTAGCCTGCAGTGCTGCATTTAACCACTGTGCCACCTCGGCTCTTAAATATTACATAAAGTGGCCCAAGTGAAAATAATTTCTTGAATATTATTTTGGCAGTATATCAATATTGTGTGTTAAGGGGTCATATTCTTATAAACTGAAGAGGTATCTTTTCTTCATGAATCTTCAATCATTTTATATAAATAAAAAACCAAAATGTTGTACTATGTTATACTTGAATACTATTTTAACTAAAAGTATTTATATATTTAAATGTATCAGACAAGTAAATAAATAGCTTCCGCATCTCTTTAAATGCAGTGAGTTGATTTCCAGACCTCAGCTGCTTCCTTTCATTTTTGTCCAGTCAAAAAACCTGGCACATCCAGCATTACCACACTGGAATATTATGACGTGGACCATATCTTATTGGAAAAAATAAAGGGCAAATCTGAGATAATTTCATAAAGATTATATTGAAGGAGTATATGAATCAATCTGAATCAACATTTGCTTCTGCTTATATTATTGTATACTGTCAGAAATTAAGTTGTTTTCTGGCCTAGTAAATTTTAACCTTAATACTGGACTGCAAATGTTACCTCACTGCTGTGTCTCACTTCTATTCTTGGCTTCAAAGCTAGGGACATTCTTGAAAACATAGAAGAAACTGTTACACGGGCTGCATAGATAAAGGAGCCAAACTAGGGAGTTTTCCTGGCTCATAAATCCTTAAGGCATTCTGCCGGAAAAACAACTTGGCAAAGGGGAGCAGCCACCTCCTGGGACCTAAGGCTATAAGGAATACTCCACAGATAAGATAGACAGAGACAGGAGCTTGGACAAAAGAATGCTTTAAAGATCACGTTGGTAACAAATCTTTCTCTCTTTGTTTCTATCTGCCTAAATGTATATAATACTCTGAGCCACTCTTCCAGGGCGTGTCTATTCCTTACATGCATTTGTTTGTACGTTTTGGATAAGAGTTTTGTCACCCAGCTTTTGCTATGGCCATAGCAAAAGCTGATACTTTTTGCAAGCTTTGTCTCGAGTCTCCTTTTTGGCATCTCAGTGGCTCTGAGAAAACTGCTGGAACCTTACTCTCTATCTATCCACACACACACACAAAATCTGGCAACTTTAAGATGTGTGGACTACCACTTCCAGAATCCTTGAGTGGGGAACTCTGGAATTTATAGTCCACATCTTAAAGTTGCTAAGGTTTAGAAGCCTTGCAATATTGATGTCCTAAGGATGCCTACAAAGGGCATATATATCCAGGTCTTAAGTCTTCTCTGCATACAAGTTCACGGAGTCATTGATGAAAGAACCCGATCCTTTACCTACTCAGGGTTCCGTGTTCTGCTTTTACTGAACTGACTCTATAGTAAATGAGGAAGTTCGTCGGTCATCCCGGCCCTTTGGACCAAAAGAAAACCCAGAAGTAGAACTGTTGGACTCTCCATAGTTCAGCCTCCTGCTACCAAATCTCCCGGCGGCGGTGGAGGAGGAGAAGGGAGGGGGTGGGGGAAGAGTCATTCTAAAGGCTAAGGAGAAAGTAGCAGCGGCAGAAACTCTGGTGAATTGCAACGTTCGGCCTTCTGGGAATCCCCAAACACCCAAGAGGCGCACCACTATACACTGCCGCGGAAAGTGGAAGCTCGCAGCGGCAGGCAGGCCTCGCGAGAAAGGGCGTTTTTTGGGGGGCTGCGGCTCCTCCTCCTCCGGCAGCGAATGGGCGGCCGAGCCAGGCCTGCGTGGAGGAGGAATAGCGCGAGAAACCGCCGGCAGTGTGTGCTGAGCCAGGCGGGCGGCTTGGCCCGCTTGCAGGGAAGTCGCTCCAGCCTGCTTGCTTGCTTGCCGGCAGCCGCCCGCACCGCCGGTCAAGATGTCCGGCGGGCGGGTGTGCGCTGCCTGCGGCGGCTCCGACATCGAGGTGGACTCAGCCCGGGGCGATGCCGTCTGCACCGGATGCGGTTCGGTGCTGGAAGACAACATCATCGTCTCCGAGGTGCAGTTCGTGGAGAACAGCGGCGGAGGATCCTCGGCAGTCGGGCAGTTCGTCTCCCTCGACGGTGCGAGCCTGTGTGTGTGTAGCGGGGAGTCGGGGCCGGGCTTGTGGGGGGGGGGAAGAGGCAACCGAAGGAGGAGCAGCCCGATGCTGCCTCTGCTACGGCCGGCCGTGACGTTGCTCCCGAGAGTAGTGAATTGCACGTGGGTGCCGTGGGAGAATCACAACTCCTCTGCTTCCTCCTCCTGTCCCTTGTACAGAATTTGCTTAGTTTAAAAGCAAAGCAGTGCAATGACAAAATCGCCTATGATACTGGAAGAAGACAATTTATGTGCTACTGATTAGGACGGCTCTCATGTCAAGAGGCGCTGCCTTGTAACTTCTGCAACCCTTTAGGTCAGTGTTTCTCAACCTTGGCGACTTTAAGTCCTGTGGACTTCAACTCCCAGAATTCCCCAGCCAGCTGTCTGGGGGGATTCTGGGAGTTGAAGTCCACAGGACTTAAAGTCGCCAAGGTTGAGAAACACTGCTTTAGGTCTTACAAAGAAAGTACATTTGTCCCAACTTAATTCTCTGGCCTCAGTATTTGCAGCCCGGTGAATCCTTTGACAGCTCTCTCTGATTTCCATTTTCCTCAAACTTCTTTCTTTGACTCTTTCTCTGGCTTGTTATACCAAATCTGGGGAAGGGGCTACTTTGTCCCATAAGAAATAGGCTTCGAAGAATAATAAGCCCTGCTTCAGAAAGGAGAGAGAGAGGGAAATATTTATGTTCAGATGCCCATCTGTGTTGTTATAGATGGAAAATAGATGTTTCTATTAAGTATATCTGTTATGAGATCTGCCCTTTTCCTAATCTTCGTCTTAATAACTGTGGGTGCCTTCTTGTTCCATTTGGCTTTCATTCATTCCTTTCTCTACCTATTAGTTTGGTAATAGATTTTGACTTTCGTGTAGGAGCCTGTAAGATCTGTAGTTTGTGACATTTACTTAACAGAAGTAAAATTAAAATATAGTTATGGCTTATCCACAGTTGATATACATTTGATTTTTTTACTCTTATTGGATACATGAATTCAGCAGCTGAAGGTGTATGGCAGAGGGTACTGAACATTTTTTTCTAGTTGCATACCTAGACGACTGTTTAAGAACTTTAGTGAGTTCAGTTCATGGAGAAAGAAATAGCTACTGTGTTTTTCGGAGTATAAGACGCACCAAGATTTTGAAGGGGTAAATTTTTTAAAAAAGGTTTTGTCCTCCCCGGCCCCCAAGAGCACTCTGCACTCTGTTTTTTTTGGGGGGGGAGAGGGCAAAAACGTGACACATGGGGACTCAATCTTCCTAAAGGGTAAGGCTTTTATCGATCTCAAACCTACTTTTCTCTACCCCTCCCATGGCAGGGCAGGACTAAACATATCTCTCTGCGCTTTATTTTGTCCCCCCCCCCCTCACTTCCCTCTGACCGGCGACACGGAGCCGCTTGGCCCAAAGAGCGGCAGTTGGCTTGCTTCTTCTCCAGTGAGGAAGGAAAGACACATGGGGCTGAAATGGCACCTGAGCGGCAAAAGGGAAGCCCAAAGGAAGCAACCCGCCAAGGCTGTCTCCTTGAACAATCAGGCTTGTTCACAGCCCTCTTGGCAACACCGCTTCCTTAGTGTCAGGGCAGAAGCATGTTCCAGCCTGCAGGGAAACTCCTGACCTGGCACACTGCATTCCGAAGTTTCCTTTCCATCCTGTACTTCTTCCACTAGCCAAGATCCCAACGATGCCAATAGCTTTTCCTGGAGAGAATGTGAAGATCTAGCATCTTGAGAAAAGACTTAATGATGAGGAGATTGTTTATCTTCCCTCCCTCCACCCACCCACCCCCAATCCGCCCGGATCTGTCATGCAACAAAGAGATATGGTAGCTGGGCGCAATAGCAGCAATAGCAATAAGCAGATCTGGAGAGATTTGGGGTGGGGGGTGGTGGAGAACGCTAGATTGGGAAGTTAAAAACCTAGAATGGGACACAATCAAGCTTGATTCAAAGGCTTTGGCTCCTGAGATCGGTGTGCTGCCACCCAAAAATGCTATTAGCGCGATCTCTGCTGCCTGGAACTGCCCGAGAAGGAGCAGGTAAAACGGACCCTGCAGCGATCGTGGTATCAGCATTTTGGATGGCAGCGCACCGATCTCAGGAGCCAAAGCCTTTGAATCAAGCACCTCGCTTCACCCACGTTACACCTATCCTCCGCGAGCTGCACTGGCTGCCTGTCGATCTCCGGGTGCGCTTCAAGGTGCTACTTATCATCTATAAAGCCCTTCATGGTAGTGGGCCTGGGTATTTGAGAGACCGCCTACTGCCAATTACCTCCACTAGACCGATACGATCGCATCGATTAGGCCTCCTCTGAATTCCATCTACTAGCCAGTGCAAACTGGCAACTACCCGGAGAGCCTTCTCGGTGGCTGCTCCGACCCTCTGGAACGAACTCCCCGTGGAGATTCGGACCCTCACCTCCCTCCAATCCTTCCGCGCCGCTTTGA